CATCGACTCATCAAAATGTGTAGCTATGATCATTTTCGTCAACTTCGTCAAAATTTTATCAAAATAAGTTATGTTGGAAGGACAATTGCTACAATCGGGATCCCTCAACTCGTCAAAACGTGTAGCTATGGTTATTTTCGTCAACTTCGTCAGAATTTTGTCAAAATAAGTTATGTTGAAAGGACCATTGCTACAATTAGGTTAAAGTTGAGGGACTATTGCTCAAATTAGGTTAAAGTTGAGGGATCATTTCTCTAGTTGGATTAAAGTTAAGAGACCAATTGGAATGAATTTTTAGTTGAGGGATCATAGCTGCACGTTTTGATGAGTTGAATGATCAATGGTAATGGATTTATAATTAAGGGATAATTGCTCCAATTGAGTTAAAGTTAAGGGACCATTGCTCCAATTGAGTTAAAGTTAATGGACCATTGCTACAATTTACTCATTATCTATTAGGCCATCTCCAACCGATGGCTGGTCAGATGGCTCGTTTTACCCCTCTGGTCCTCCAAGATTCTCCAAGATATTAATATTTTAATGAACAGTACATGACCATATTTGCCTCCGTCTCCAACCAATGGCCAGATTGCTCGTTTTAGCCCTTTCAGAAAAAACCGTCTCCAACCGAGGGCCAAAGGGCCAAACATAATTTATTATTTAAAAACTACAACTTAAATTCAAATCCAATGGCTTAGGAAGTTATAGGAAAAAAAATAGAATTAAAAAAAAATATGAAACAAATTTTGTGAAATAGAAGTTATAGGAAAAAAATGGAATTTAAAAAAAATATATGAAACAAATTTTGTGAAATAGAAGTTATAGGAAAAAAATAGAATTTAAAAAAAATATATGAAACAAATTTTGTGAAATAGAAGTTATAGGAAAAAAATGGAATTTAAAAAAAATATGAAATAAATTTTGTAAAATAGAAGTTTTAGATAAAAATAGAAGTTATATGAAAAAGCGTAGGTCTCACCTAACATTTTTTTTAATTGTTATTCAATGAGGTTGTTCCACCTAACATTTTAATTAATACAGCGTAGGTCTCATCTAGGTGTATAAGCGTTAAGTTCCAACCCGCTACTAAACTAGCGTAAAACATACCTTAATTAAGACCACCCAATATTAAAATTATAGATCCACTAATGTGTATTTAGTGTTACTCTTCGTTGAATGAACATTGAATCATATAATTATTATTGTTCAAGAGTTATTCAGTGTTGGTTGGTGTATGAAGTTTAATTATGTGGACGGGATGGAAGAGAAATGTTTAAATTAAAAATAAATAAAAATAATTAAAAAAAAAACCCAACGACTAGGTGACTCAGCTAGCCGTTATATTCAAAAAAAATTCAAACTATTAGTGTCGATTATAACCGACACTAATAGTAAATAATAAAAAAAATTCCTATGAATACCTATTACTATCGTTTATAACCGATAGTATTAAAAAATTATTCTTTAATGTTATCGGTTATAACCGACAACAATAGGATAACTATTAAAAAAAAATAGCCAACCCAGGGCTGGTTGGCTGGCCGAAAGCAGCCAGCCCTTTGGCCCTTTGAAATTCCGTGGGGCCTTCCCAGATTCCCAAGCCCTCTGGCCTAGCCCTCGGTTGGAGACAATTTTAGGGCTATTTTCGACCCTCTGACCCTTTGGACCCTTCGGTTGGAAATTGCCTTAATGGACTTGACGAGGGAGGTATTTTTGTTTTGTTTTTGTTTAGTTTTGGACTTATTTACTTTATTTTTCTATTTTTGAGAAAAATAATTAAATTTGGATTTTGACCGTTACCCTTTTCCGTTCAAAAAGTGAAATAATACATAAAAAGTATATTTGATGTATATAATTGTGAAATATTGTCTTGGGCTAATTAAAAACATAATGGTGTTTCAAAATGCGGAGTTTAGCGTTTATACTTGTAAAGATGATAGAGGCGACAATGGTGATAATAGAGATAGTGGTGGTGTTGGCGGCAAAGGCGGCAATGAGCATGGTGGTGGAGGTAGCAGTGAGAATGCTAAGAATCAGATGAGCAATGGTGATTGCCTCTTCCTCCTTTTTTTTGTCGGTGGTTGCCTCTCAAATTATCTTATTTTTCGCTAATGGTAATCGTTTGAATATGCGGTGATAATTTTCAGTGGTTACCTACTGAAAAATCTTTAGTACATTATGTTCTAATTCATTGAACACTTAGCAAATTTAGATTCATTTGCGTGATTTCTATGAAAAAAGTCTAAAAAAAAACACTCTTGGCATCTTGAAGAGTACAAAAAAAAAAAAAAAAACGGTATGATTCTCCATTTGTTATCAAAATAGTTTTCTTCGCCAAATCTAATTAGATCATTTGAAGTTGTATAGTATAAAGAGTAAAAAGAGTAAGAGATTTGAGGAGTAACTAGCAAAGTAGCAAATACGGCTCACTGAAATCAACACAAGTCAACCAAAAATTCAAAAATTTTAGATTACACTGTTGAATTTAACGACTGAACATGGTTTGAAATGTTGAAGAAAAGCGGACTTGCGCAGAAAACCAGATAATATTTTAGCGCAGGAAAAACAACTTCATACAACAAACAAACTACAACTTGAATACAAAAGCATAAAACAAACCGAGAAAATAGGAGCAACCATTTTCAATACTTCTAAAAAGACTTCCTATACAATAAACAACTCATAATATATTAAAATATAAATAAATAACTCTTAACGAGTAATTTTACACTTACTACATTTATCATATCACATTTGTACTACTTCTCTAATGAGAGATTCACTGTCACAGACACAGCTCGACACACTAAATGTGTTGGAATATTCTCACACTTGGTTGCCTCTTGAGATTAAGTGGGCTTGCAATGGATTCTTCATCACTACAGTAAACTCCTCTTTCTCTGAGAGGTCCACGTCATCTCCCTCCACAGCTCTCCACTCAAATTTCCAAACCAAATTGGCCACAAAATACTCCAGATGCAGCACCGCCAATCCCAACCCTGGACAGATCCTCCTCCCCACCCCAAACGGCATCATCCTGATCTCCCTGCTCCCCGTCAAGTCGAACCCTTCATCTCCGCCCAAGAACCTCTCCGGCTTGAACGCCATGGGGTCCTCCCACACTTGCGGGTCCCAACCTATATCCGCCACCATGACGTTAACACTCCCGTTCTTGGGCACCAAGTGTCCGTCTAAAACCACGTCGTGCGTCACCGCGTGCGCCAGCACAAAGTGCGCCGGCGGGTGGCGCCGCAGGCCCTCCAAGATCACGGCTTTCAGATACGGCAGCTTCCGCAGGACCTCCTCACTCACCTCCTCCTCTGTTTCTCCCGTAACCTCTTTAATCTCCGCAAAGAGCTTCTCCTGAACTTCTGGGTACTTCACTACGTTGGCCATGATCCACTGCAGGCGGTGGAAGTCGTGTCGGTGCCAGCGTTGAGAAACTCCGAGCAGAGGTTGACAATTTCGTCCTCCGAAAGCTTCCGCTTTTCGTTGCCGTCGGGGAGCTGGAGGTCTAGCAGCGTATCAGTATACGACAACACAAATTCATCGTCTTTGTCGGCGTCGTTGATGCTTCTGGCCAGCCTGTCGTTCTTTGATTTCTGTCGTGCCCGAATCAGAGGGACGATCACTTCTCTTTGTTCCTCGAGGATCTTGAAGAATTCCCGCCACCGGTTTTTGAGGAGAATCTTCGTCAATTTCGGTTTGAAATTAAGGATTTTGAACCGCTCGATACTAAAAAGTCGTTGGCGCTCCACGCGCTCGATTTCGTTGACTTGCTCTTCGTTTAATTTGTCTCCGAAGCACATCAGAACCAGGAGGCAGAACATGGCGTATTGGAAATGCTCGACCACCCTGACGCCGCCGCCTTCGGTCTGGGACTGAGACTTGGTTTTGAGGCGATTGACGAGGATGTCGAGAACCCATTTGCGGGCGTTGCCGTAGGATTTGACGCGGGAAGGGTGGAGGATTTCGGAGGTGAGGTTGCGGCGGAGGAGGCGCCAAATGGGACCGTAGACGGCGGAGCTGATGTTGTGTTGGTTGCTGCTCATGTACTTGTTGGTGGCCAAGGCCGGTGGGCGGTCAGCGAATACGGCGCTGTTCTGGATGAGGGCCTGGTGGGCGAGTGAGCGGTCGGAGATGAAGACGACGGGTCCGGAGCCGATGTGGAGGGAGATGATGGGCCCGTATTGGACCTGGAGGTTGCGGATGAGTTGCTTGAGCTCCGAGACGGGTTTCCGGAGCCACAAGAAGCTGCCTATGATGGGGATGGAGCGGGGGCCGGGAGGGAGCTTGGGTTTGGAGATGGAAGTGGGTAGGAATAGAGAAAGAAGGGGTTTGAGGAGGAAGCAGACGCAGAGGCCTATGGGGACGAGGAACCAGGTTTCCATGGTGAAAAATAAGCAATGAGACTAAGGGTAAATGCTTTTGCTTAATACCTTCTTAATTTTCCATAAATATATAAAGAGATGAATACAACTTTTTTTTTATTCTTTATTTATTTTAACAAACGATGTAGACAGGAGAAGTGGACTAAGTCCCATAATGCATTAGAAATAATATGGTTCAAAGCGATAATCAAGCATAAGACCTCATACTTAAACTATAGTACTAAGAGATAGGGATGAATAAAACTTGGTAAGCAAGAAAAATCTGATGTTGGGTTTTCAAAATTTTGGAGTGTTGTATTTACTGGTGTTTGCTAGAGTACAAATACAAATAGTTGAATTGGTCGGGCAAGGGATCAAAAAGCCAATCACACATTGCAACGTTTAAAGGCCAAAATGCATAAAATTGTAATTTACCTATTGTGTTTGTCGCATTGTCTCAACTCAATCACTTGTTGCAATATGAAAAAGTTAAAATGTGAGACTGATTCGATTGGGATGTTTTGTTGTCTTACGTATGTCTTGCCGTCTTGGTACTAACTGAAGTTAACACGCTTGGACTAGGCATAGGAGGCAAGGCAAGTGGGTCTCTAACTCACCAAACATGTTTTGTTTCCTTAATTCATGCTAACTTGTATTGACAAAAAATAAAGAGGAACTGCCGATGTGTTTCGAAAGATTTCCATCAAGCATGAACACAATGACAACTGCAGCGGAAAACACGTCCCGCATTTAAATTAAAACTCTACCGTGTTCCCTGAAATCCCTGGAAATTAACATCTCGTTTAAATTACAGTTCGTCAAGAAGCGTTACAGATTATGCATCTCTACTTAAAGCAAATAAAATTGTGAGTAGAGATACTCCCGAATCTTGTAATAATCCTCACATAAGGGGCCTTCGATCACAATTTGTTGGGTGCCGGAACCACCACCCTACGAAAGAAAAAAATATTATAAATACGCCAGTCAGACTTTCCATCTGCAAAACCAGAACTCTAGCTATGGACCTCTTAGTACTGAAAATTTGGGTGCTAATACTATTTGCATATCTGTATATGACCAACCTTATGGCTTGCATCCCCAACTTTGCGTAGTGTCACATATTCACCGCATCTCAGCACGCCACCAGCAAATTCAGCCTGTCAAGGTCATCAGATCAAGATGGTGGTAAATATAATAGTTCCCTAGAGCTTAACCCTATCTCTGGTCTTCAAAACATGAAGTTGAGAACTTGAGATAACTTCACATAACGAATTTTGGGGGCGAAACAAAGTCCAACAAGTTAAGCAATGAACAGAAATGGTACCTGAACACCTTTGTCGGAAAGAAATTGCTTGAAATTAGCCATTTTTAAGTCACCAACAAGGACAGATTCATGTGGTGGAGGTGGGTTTGAGAGGGGTTGTAAAGATAGCATATCATTTTCTGTCTTTCCTGCCTCAGAGTCAACCCATGCTATTTCGTAATCTCCAACCTGTGTTTGCAATTACATCAGAATGGTGAGGACGATATGATTATGATATAGACAACATAAGGTGCATCTTGACGCTCTCAAGCCTACCTTTTTAAAGAGCACGTTACTCATTAACTTCTCAGACAATTGCACCTGCATTCACATAATGTGAAAATAACTTAATTAGGACTTCTGAGCCACAGATCAACTAATAAATAGATTAGTTTTCTTCTAAGGTTTTACCTTATAAGCGCATAAATCAGAAGTAACATCAATTGTTTCTTCAATTTGAGGAGCATAAACATGCGGACAAACGTGTTTCAAGCAGTGTTGCTTCAAATGTTCCGTGGCCTCAGCTGTTCCATGAACCAAAACCTCCAGGAAAAAAAAAAAATATTATACCATAAGGTTGGTTTTATTAAGTGAAAAAACACTTCTCGGGCCAACCTGAAAGACTGACCATGAGTGCATTTCAAGAGCTGATTAAATAGATTCAATTAGTAAACTTACAAGTTTTAGAGGAGCCATATGGGAAAGAATTGATTTGATGGATCTTGCATCGGAACGGCCCTCAAAGTCCATATAAATCAATGAACACTTCACTTGAACCTGAATTAGAGAATAAACCAGAATAGAACTTAGTTTCAGTTGACGTCAAGATTGAAAAAACTATAAATTAATTTAGCAGACTTCTACTTACGGTCAATTCAGTCGATACAACTTTTGAAGGCCTCGTGTCAAGTATCAAACTAGCAGAGCCTTCATCAAGTTTTCCATCCATATCACCACCAACCTGAGGCAGATAAAATGTTAATATAGTGAAGCATAATGGCATGTACAAATCTCTGTTTAAAAAGATGGCAACAATTTTACGTAGTGGACCAGAGACAAGTTCCTTTCAGAGAGAAAAAAAATTTGATGGCAAGCAAATATAGCTAACATGCCCGGGAAAATCACGGAGATCCCACTACTAGTCTTATAGACACATCAAGAATCTGACTACGATGGGGAATGCTAAACAATATGCCTCGTCCAACTTTTAACTCTTGATAAGGATGGTTTCCAGAGGACCTTATGTCAACCTTCCAACATCACCTAAGATATGAGACCATTCTTATACACATTTTATCCCCCCATACCGAGTCAGAATCTAAGTAGCTCAGACTTAAAAGAATAATAATTAAACTTGGAAGAAACCAATGAACATGATGATTCACAATCAAAACTTACATGCATAGCTCCATGGTCCATGTCTTCATCCTTTATGACATAATCATCCGGATTTATAACTTCACCAAAGTCATCCCACTCGGTACTATTCTCATAGAAGGGAAACATAGGGGCAACACTGGTAGAAGGAGGAGTAAATCCATCTATTAAAATGTCCCGGTATCCACTGCCTTGTGGACCTGCTGCTGCAACAAATTATCACAAAAGCTTCTCAGAAGAAAAGAACTTGCATGGAAAGCTTCACTACAAGGTCAAAAGAATTAGTAAATGCTTGACCTCATTCAAATAGGACATGCCCATCTAAAGAAAGTTTCTCAAACAGAAAATGTTTTCAAACCTACCATCCGGCAAAGAATGTGTATTACTAGCATCAATGATCATTGGATCACTCGTGTTGACATCAGCCCCATGAGAAGCTTTTGATTCCTCCTCTTTTACAAGACTAGCCTTTAGAGCTTCTTCCTTTCTTATTCTGTTCTGCTCTTCTTCATAAGCAATTAGCTCCTCACCAACCAAAGGGACCCTTTTGGATATGGTAACCTTAACAGCTTTTGGAGGCGGATCTGCCTGAAGCATGCGAGCTAAACTTCCAAACTACATAAGCAGCTTAAGGTCTCAACATATGGTGCCAATTAATGCAACAAAAAAATATATAGAATGATAATCATAACATTTAACACCTGAAAATGATAGTTATGTCAAGGACCTAGGATACCTGGGCTCGTTCTGTAAAAAGGACAAGATTCTTGGGGTCATTTGCCCATTCTACAAATATATCGTGAGAGAAACCAGCTTCTAAACTGGCCATGGATGCTAAAACAACCTGTATTGGACAAATGTGTCAAAGTCATTCAAACTAGTAGGCAAAATAAAAATAAAATACTCCAAAATGTATATATTGTAAACCTTGGGACCGTCAGGAGCATCGTCAAGTTCACTCTTGCTAACTAGAAGTCTGATTCGCCTGCAAATGTTTGCAAACATAGATAGTAAATCGTTCAGAAACAGTAATATTGTACTTAGTGGCTCAAAATTTCAAATAGTCATGAGTAACACACATAAAAAACACCACTTACTTCAAATTAAAAACATTCTCACGTGTTTTCTCAAAGGACTTTGCTATCGCATCACTCATCCACTCAAGGAAACTTTTTACGTAATCGATTGTGCTAGACGCAACGTATGTTAGAAAGAAGATGGGATAGTTCAAATTTTCCTCTGTCCAACACTGCAATTGATGGGAAGAACCAATATCAATAAATGCAACATACTTGACAAGATAAAATTGTTGCATTGTTGTAGTAAGGATAGAAAACAGTACTCATCTCCCCTACCGATTCCAATATCTGGACAAGTTCCATAACCCGGCCGGCAGTATCAACAGGTAATAGCACATTTCCATCAGATCGTAGAGTCTTCTTTATAGCATCTGAATAATAGCCAGAATAAAAAATTGAGACACGGAATAAAAGAACCTCATTCATTTACATGTACAGATAGTTGTTTGTTCCATACATGTTCTGCAACAGAAAAACCGAAACAATGAAGAGAAACAAACATTTCAATTCCTGGTTCATAAGAATACTTAAGATACCTGTAAATTCCTTGTCCTTTTGGCGTCTATAAGGCTGATTGTTCAAAGCATTATAGGCATCTGTTATCAGAACAGCAGGGCGTACGAAGGCTGATTGATTAATTCCGTTCAAATGCCTGAAGAAAAACACAGCAGTAAGCAGTTCAAACCATCATTCTTTATTCCAAAACATCATCTACACATAAAAATAACCAAATTTCCACTCAGAGTTAAAAAAGAGAGTGAAGAATTACTTCTCTTTTCGATGGTTGAAGTCCACAGCATATATAACATCCTCCCCATCCTTTGTTATCTTCCAGACGGTACCGCCCAAGAGATGCCCAGACACATGGGGTGAAATCACAATTCCCTCTCCTTTGCCTACAAACTGAATACATTAATACATTCGTATTCACTCCACCATTACTTTTATTAGTTTATATTATTTATGAATAATGCATAATAATAATTAGGGTTTATTGGCATACCAGAAAGATGGTGATTTGAGCATAGGTTAATCTGGTGAAATTTTGGAATGCAGAATCAATGTCATCCAGTGTAAAAAGGTCAAAGTCTGATACTTGCTGCAAAATTAAACAAAAATTAAATCAAAATTAACCAAAATTAGAAAACCAAATGCATACAATCTGTAAATTAGCATAAAATTATGATTTGTGGATTGATTGTGGAGCTACCTTGCGAGAGAGGAACTGATCATACATAGTGAGGAGACCTAATCTGTAAACCGGCTCGGTGGAGAAGACGGGCGCAGAGAGGCCGAGCTGCTTCATGGCGTACGGAAGCGCGCCGAGGTGAAGTGTATCTGGATGCGACAACAACACTGCATCCACCGTCGAAGCTACCCTGCACCACCACAATTCCACCATTGAAGCTCCGAATAGAATGCAAGTAAGAGATTGAATTGAAGAGGAAGAGAGAGAGAGAGAGACCTGGAGAGGGGTTGAAGGAGGGAGGGGTCGAAGTGGTCGTTCCAGCCGCAGTCGATGAGGAGGTTGAAGCCGTCGATTGAGACCAAATACGACAGCGGGTTCTCGTTGTAGACGCCGCACAACGGCGTTACCTGAACTGAAGTTCCCATTCGAATTCTTCTGAGTCTTCTCTCTTAATCTCTCTGCAACTCCGTAGACTGAAAGAAGTAAAGGAGGGGATGGGAAAGCAGTCGACGACGGCGCCGTTTCTCATCACTCCAATAAAACACGAGATGTGGTTTCGCAAACCAAATGAACTTTTTTTTTTTTTTTTTTTTGAAAAAAAAAACACTGATTAAGAATGAAATTCATATTTAAATGGTACATTTTGGAACGATTCTTGATGCTGGTGAATCACATGGTGGGCAGAAAAATACTGAAATTTCTCTGTGAGTCTTTTCAGCCCCTAAAAGAGTAGATTGCTGTAACGAAACTACCAGTTAGTCTCATTTTTAATAAAAATGTACCTTACGTTAGGCCAATTGATCAAGACAATAGACCAACCCTTTGAACTAGAGTGGGGCCGTTTTTGTTATGGTGAGTATCACCGCTATATTAAGTTATTAACTATTGCCAAAGAAATTCAAAATTTTGAGATTTATATGCCGTATAAAGATTAAATCACTCATCCTGCGGTAATCAACGCGGTGGTCATGCTCACCATCACTTAAGCACAGCGAGTACCCTTGTAATAACGCTTTGCCTGTCCTAACGTCATGTTTTAATTCTTTTGCGGTTTCTAGTTCTGTTGAAGTGTGTTTTTCTCCCTATGTTGTCTGTTGTTCTGTTTAAGCTGTCTTCTCATTTCTCTCCCTTTCAGACATCTGCTTGATCAGTTTTACCAAGAAAATATATAATCTCTTTATTTCAAAGATGTTTCTGTAATAAGGTATGACGAGATTGACACGTACATTTCATTCATTAGTTGCCAACGAAATTGGATCGGAAATATTTGAAGTATCAGAGAATTCGGAAAATAAACATCGATTGCTAATTCCCTATATCGGTTTTGTTTTTTCAAGTTGGAATAGAGGATTGTCCATTCCAAGGAATGTACAACTTTCATTTTGCTCTGCAGGCAAGCACTGAGGTGGGCGGCCGCACAGATACGCGGATCATACTTCAATCTGATGAGCTTTATCGTTCATGCTTGGCAAGGGTCCGTCCCATAGCTCCGCTAGTTCCTTCCTTATCCAAGAAATGAAAACAATTGGTCCCAGCGTCGAAGGCACCTACATTCACCAATAAAGCAGGAGTATTAAAAGAGATGGTCGAGACTCAAACCGTGCAATCAAATCTTCTATGAGCTAGAAGCTAACGGAAGCTCTTAGTCGTATCAAAAAAGCACCCTCTAATTTTGTCGAGCACCATAGCTTAGTGTTAAATGTACCATTTACAGAATAAACCAGACCATAAAAGCGGCAATATCCATCGACTCTCATGGGAGAACAGCTGATAATACAAATCAACTTTAAAAACAACAAAAGAACTTACCAGATAAAGAAGCGAGGTGAGTGTGTCAGGATGCCAGCTGCTAAAGCCGTAACCAGGCCAATGGCATATCCAGGAAGGGCATACCAAATATATTTGTGCCCCTTTGAGGAATGCATATCTAACAGATTTACCAAATCCTTGCTCCTTCGATGATCAAAACATAGGACTAATGCCAGTAGCATGGCAGGAATTGCCTGCAATGTGCACAAAAGAAAATATAAATTGCTTGGGGCGAGAGTATCTACTCCGAATAGAATATGCATGAGGATCATGTCAAAATAATACACTAAAGAACAAAGAGAATCTTACGGGCTTGCAATTATGAGAAAGGTAGTCTGAACCAGTTAATTTGTAGACATAGAAAATGAACAGAAAAAAATGAAGACCCAGACAAATCAAGTAATTAACGATTAGTTTAATGACCAGATCAAATATAATCAACATAACTGGAACATTCAAAAAGTATTAACTAGATTTAGGGACTAACCCACAATGCTTATAGCATCATAAATCTTATTCTTAGTCTGGCAAGTTAAACTTTAATTAAAAATATGAATGCAGCACGACATTGATCAGTGCAATAACCGAAAAAAGAAATGCCATCATTAGTTATATTCAGTCGTTACATTGTTGAAAAAGGATGTCATACCATGTCACCGAGACCAGCATCATGAAGTCTCTGGCACCTCCAGGAATCTCTCCACCAATTAAGTTCCTGGGAAAGACAATCTTCACAGGCAATTCCAACTTCTTCGTTACCATTTGCAGTCCAGGAAGACTCAAACTATTTGCAACAGTATGAACTGGGTTCGAGGCTTGTTGTGTTGCCACTGATACCATGACATTCGCCCCAAAAATTCTCTCAGAGAAGAAAACCCAGAATATGTCATATACAAATAGGCAGACAAGGAGCATTGCACAAATTTTAATATTTGGAAGACGGACATGACTCACAAAGGCAACGCATATGGAAATGCCCAACAAATTGTTCAATATCCAATGTCCAGAAACAAGCCAAGCAGAAACTGTACCGATGCATAACAGCAATAACAGCGCTTGGATTCGCGTAAATGACTTGGAACAACATCTTGACACATATGGATCAGCAAGACCAAATTGTGACTTCAAATAGGCTATATAAGGAGATATGCAGAAAAATAGGGAGGAGACGGAGGCAACGGCTGTGAATACAGTGAGGAGTTGTGAGACGGAAGTGAACAAGTAGAACATCAAAAGCAAGCTTATAGAGCTCATCACCGGTATCATGAGTGCTTGGGACCTATCTAATGTAATTGATGTTTCAGATAAGTCACGATTTTTCTCCATTTCTTTCCCATAATTTAGAGCACGAAATGCAGATCCAAAAGTCACGCCTACTGCAGTTACAACTAGAGTAATAGGTGCAGGCTCCAGCAAATAAAAAAGCTTCCAGAGAGGCTCCATAACTAATCGACCACACAATTTATTATTCTTATCTCAAACTTGATTTCAATGCATATAAAGTAACACAAACGGTCAGAGAAATTGGAACCAAAGTTGCAAGCTTTCTCCGTCTGACACTTGAGCAGAGAAACCTATGCAACCTGCCAAACATCAAGGAGAAAAATGTTAAGAGTTTATTGCCAACTTTTCAAGTTGATTCGATTCCTTATTCAAAATCATATCGAGCACACCATTTTATATCAATAGGTGAAGGAAAAGATTTTTGACAAGGCGATATTCTATACTACTCTAATCTACAATGAGGGGATTCGAACTTGGGCGTCAGAGGCAGGCCTAACCCACTTCTGCAAAAGATTTAAAAATCTCCAAAACTTGGTTTTGCATCTCTTTCTTACAAAATCCTAACTCAGCCATACTTTGTACCCACAATTGGGCAAGTTAAATTGACTATTTTGGAAATTCCGTTAGGACCCTAATCCAATCTCACACAAAAGTATCAAACTTTAAAATTTTCTTTTCTAATCTCACACAAAAGTATCAATCTTTAACATTTTCCTACCCTTTTCCCTCAATTTTCTCAGCCACCAAACAAAGGGTAAGACTCAAAATGTCAAATTTTCATTTCCCTTCCTACATTTCCCCATCAAACAAACAACCTCTTATCAAAACCCAAAGGAAGAAACAAGCCTGAGTAAATTTACAAAACCAAGTACCAAATTTTGAGAATTCTTAGCAATTTACATACAATTATAGCTAAAGATCTGAGAAAATTAAGCCAATTGGAATTAGAATTTGGAGTTTATAAAAGTGATTTGTTGAAAGGACTAACCTTGGACTTTGAAGGCTTTGAAAAACCTTTGCTTCCTATCTGGTTAAGCAAAGCTGGTCTCTTTTCTCGGAGCTCTATACAATGGGAAACAACTTTTTCTAGTTTTTCATTTTCGCCCCAGAACTTTCACAATGTTTTGAATTTATCCCCAACTATTACATTATCTCTTATTATTTTCTATATGAGTAAATTGTAGTTATAGTTACTTAACTTTAACTCAATTGGAGCAATGATCCCTCAACTAAAAATTCATTACCATTGGTCCCTCAACTCATCAAAACGTACAGCTATGGTCCCTCAACTAAAAATTCATTATCATTGGTTCGTCAATTTTAATTCAACTAGAGAAATGGTTCCTTAATTTTAACCCAATTGTAGCAATAGTCCTTCCAACATAACTTGTTTTGACAAAAAATTTGACGTAGTTGACGAAAATAACCATAATTACACACTTTGATGAGTTGAGAGACCCTAATTATATAAATTATTATTCCAACATAACTTATTTTAACAAAATTTTGAAGAAATTGATGAAAATGATTATAACTACACATTTGATAAGTTGAGGGACTAATGATAATGAATTTTTAGTTGAGGGACCATTGCTTGAATTTGATTAAAGTTGATAAAACATTGCTACAATTTATTTTTTTCCCTATTTATTTGCATTTAATGATGGAATTTTAATATGGTCATCTTTGGGTTGGGTTTGCTGGGTTACAACTTACAACGGAGAAATTGCTGGATTGGCATATTGGGCCTAATTTGGACTCATGGAATTTTAAAAAATAGTTGTTTATTATATTTATAGGGAACGTTGTCAAACAAAAAATCTTGGATATATGAGTAAATATTCTTAACCATCTGAATTATAAATTTCTTGTAACAAAGTTTGGGAAAAAAAAATGAAGAAATAACTTTCGTATAGTATTTACGGATATAAAAGAAAAACATACATTTTATACAATAAATTTTAAAAAATGAATTTTACAATAATATATATTTTTACTTAGTTTATAACATCGACTATGTTTTAGATAATTGAATTAAAAGCTTTATGTTAGTGCAAATATGTCACATCCTAATTAAAAGCACAACATTAAGGAAAATTAAATGCAAAGATGGAGCATGCAAGTTGCAAATCACATGTCAAGTCTTCATTATTTATGATAACTAAGGCTTGATAGATGATAGATCCATCATCTTAGAAACTTAGATCTAACAACGTTGCAAGTAGCAACCCAAACAAGAGGACATGTGTTCCCAAATTTATCCATTTAAACTTTTTTTTTAATTACTATCATATGAAAGGGGAGAGAATTGGAAACTATTACACTAATTTAGAAGAAGAGGGGGAAGGGAAGAGTTTCAAATCCGAGGCGCATAAGTAAAAACCCAACAACCTGCTATATACTAGGATACTGAACCACATGCATACAACCTAACTTTTTAACTCACAATAAAATATGTCATGTAATCAATAATATCAACATGATTTTCCTTGTGTCATTGAAAAAACGATACATTTCGTTTCATAAAATCCGAGCTTGTGACTTCCGTCAATAGAGTAGGAAGATAGTTTTACTTGGACCAAATAATTAGTAGATGCAAATTATAAAGAACGAGACTCGAACTTGAATCGAATGCAGAAGTAAACTATGATGTAATCAACTTTGACAGCAAATTCTGGCATGCAAGCTTGAAACCACTTATAGCCCCCCAAAATTCAAAGTGGTTAATCACCTAACTTACCTCTAACTAATCCAAATATTAAGACCCCATTTACAACTAACCCACAATCTCACCGTTCTTAATTGGGTTTTGGGTTGCCCATCCACCGTCGAAACCATAATGCATATAACCAATAGGGCCCATCACACAAATAAGTCGGGAGGTTGGGCCCCACAAACCCAATCCAACTTCAGAACTGTGACTCACCAGGGCCACCACCACCCACCATCCTCCTCCATCGGCTTATAAAACCCACCACCTCCACGGCTCCACCATTAACACGACAAACACCTCCATCTCCTTCAAGCCTCGATTTTCTTCTCTCTTTTTGGTAACAAATCTGCACGATTTAATTTATCATTAAATCAAGCATAATTTTAGCCGCACGAGAAAGCTACAAGAGTACGTAGTCATTGCATATACAGTGGGTTTCACGTATGGCTGTGAAAGATCGACGTTAGAGAAGAGAAAGCGTATAAAGGCGACGATGATGTATGTCAATGCAGTCCTGGTCGCCGTAACGACAGCTCTGTTGGCGTGCGCTCCTCGGTGCATTTACGCCGAGGAGCGGCTCACGGTGAACATGACCATTGTCCGACGCGGTTCAGCTCTCGGAGCTTGTAAGTTTCTTCTCATTAACTCAACAACTTGTAATTATGTAATAAAAGAAAGATTAAAGATGTTTTTCTGTTTGTTTATTTATTTAGTTTGCTTGGATGGGAGTTTGCCTGCGTATCATCTGCACAGAGGATTCGGGGCCGGAGCAAGAAACTGGCTTTTGCAGTTTGAGGTAATGCTCTTTTTTTTTTTTTGCTTTTTTATAATTATTTTGAAAATATAAAAGCCTGTCCGCGAGGCAAAAGTGCTTTCTTTTTCTTTTTTTTTTTGTGTACTTGTTGTTGTTAGTTAATTATATTGCGCACATATCGACGTATATTGAAACAAAATGATTATTGATATAGAGATAATTTATTGAGTATTATCGACGTAACTTATCGAAATATGTTTAACATGCATTACATCAAACACTTGGTAATGAAAAAGGAACTCGTAACAAATATTTGGAAGGTCATTGGAAGACATTTACATGTATATTTCTAAACTCTGGGTAGTTTGGTTGTATTCGGATCACCTTATCCCAATGACCATCCGCCCCTAATCTCGAGTCAATACTTTGTAATGGTTAGCGTCTAGTGATATTTAAAGTTAATACGTTTAGTAATCGAATTGAAATAATGCTACAGTAATTGAGAGTTAAAGTCTATTTATTGCATAGATGCATTTTAGAAATTGTCACTATAATATCATCTCAAGCAAATAACACACCGTGGTTAGCATCTAGTAATATTTAAAGTTAATAAATATAATTAAGAGTAATCGACTTGAAATACTGTTACACTACGTCGCAAAGTAAGTAGTTACTTTTAAATCAATGGACTTTTGTTGACAAGTCGTGACTCACCAGAGCCACCCGTGACCTCCACTTGTGCTTGGACTTCCGATTGCGAGTACAATTGGGAAACCAAACCAATACGACACCGTTGTTTGTTACTTTGTCTTGTGTCTTGTGCGCGTTACTATATACAAATTTGCATTATTGCCGTGGGCGGCTTCAGCCCAGCCGCACGGCTGTCGTGGCATCATCTAATTGGCTGACAGCAACAATAGATTTTGTCCGGTTTGCCAATTAGGGAACAGATCGCAGTCATGATTTATTTTTTTATTTATGAAAATCTAATACAAAATTAAAGTTATTGAGTTGAGATTAGTAATTAATTAATTAAGAGTGTATTCAATTCGAATCTTTCTTCTGCAATACTGATTATAAAGTGCGTCGGAAATACGGCTCAATATATCTAATGTAATTTTTTTTTAATTTTTTTAATTATTTGTATTATTACACTTAATGTATCGGACGTATTCCTGAAATCTCTCTTCGTTCGGGCCTCTACTTTGTGACATTTGTGTTCGCTTGTGAACTACGCAATGTTGATCAATTTTAAACCAGTTAGGTAAGTTGGTGTGTGGGGTTCCAATTCCAAAGGGGAAACTTTATGATCAAGCTTTAAGTTTTGCATTCGTAATCATAAATCATGATGTTAAATCATAGCCGTTTGATGAATTGAATCAGGGTGGAGGGTGGTGCAATGATGTAAAATCATGCTCTGATAGAGCCAGCACGCGAAGAGGATCAACACGTTATATGACCAAGTGGGAGGTCTTTTCTGGAATCCTCAGCAATAATGCATCTCTTAATCCAGGTAATTAAATCATCTGCAATGCGTAGTCATTTATTTAACTTGACAAAAACTTCGGTATAAATGTCTGATCACAAAGGACGCATTTCACGAAAGCGTAAGACTTTTATATTTTAGTTTCACTCTACTACTCGTTAGTCTTACTCAGTGTGAAATTGTCATAATAACACAACTCTACTTAAGTTTCTCTCAATTTAACTCATATATAGTGATCTCACGTAAACACTTAATACGAGAGATGTCATAGTCAAAGCATTGAGATCCACTTCAGATCTCTGTGTTCGAAGCCTGCATATTGAAAAATTCGGATCACTCAATCATGTGACCCCCATTAGTCATCTTACTGGTCCACTTTACAAAAACTCGAACGTTCCGAATATCTCTCTCTTGAACAATCTGAATCTCTTAACTTTGCAGACTCTGAACACAAATATCCAAAGTAAATCTCATTCTATAGTCACACAACCTTGTCGAAATTTTCTTCTATTTACTCATACGAGTCAATCTTGTGGTCCATATATGCCATCACATTTTCGCATGCTTTAGCCCATACTTTGCTTTCATAATTTAGGTCTATACGTTTTGACATACAGCTAAGAGAGATTTGTTTCTCTGCATTTAATGATTTCATAATTTACGACTAATTCCGAATGCTGTTGAATTACTTAGATCTTTAATCATCAGAAAAGAAAAATTAGCACTTTTGTTAATCATGCATTTGAGGAATGTGGGTCTTGTGATCAGTGGGAAGTTGTACACGGCGGACAGTCCATGTTTCCTTTGCATTTTCTGTTGTCCCTTCACGTGAAAAAGTATAGATGACAGCTATTTTCTCAGTGGGAGCTTCATCTAGCTGACCATCCTTCCAGGGCCAGGCTTTCCTGTTTTGTCATTTTTTCTTGCTGTTGGTCGTCCAGTTGAAAGTTCTGAATCTACTTGGGTAGGCAAAACTACAGTAACTCAAAGATGTAGACCTCTTACTCCAGTCCTTGATGGCATGGTTTCATCCACTTAATCTATCTGAACTTCCAATACATTGAATTTGCAATTTGTAGCATTGTATACGTTGTTGACTCGTTATCTGACAGCTTTAGTTTTTAGGATTAGTAGTTGTGTGCCTTCTTTGAGTGGGGTATTGAGTTTGATTATCGTTCTTTATTTCTTTGGTGGTCTCAATGTTTTAAAAAGCAAAAGTGAAGCCAAGGCGTTTCACGGATAAGCCCGCCTAGGCGATAGCCTCACAACCTAAAATTATTAATATATAGTCTAGTTGAAGGGTATGTCATATAGTCCAGTTGAACTTGGAGGTATGTCATATAGTATAGTTGAACTTGAACTTGGTGGGTATGTCATATAGGCTAGTTGAACTTGAACTTGGGCAGTTTTTTTTAGGGGAAAAAAAAAGCCCAATCGAACTCCTTAGGTGCACCTCAACCGCCTATGCGCACCTCGATCATGTCTAGGCGAGCTTAGGCCTACTCATGTTGGGTAGAGGCATTTTCATCACTGGCCCACCTCCAAAGCCGCCTACGCGCACCTCAAGGCTCGTTTTTTAAAATATTGGTTGGTTTGTATTGTGGTTACATCTATATGATTGTCTCTCTTTTCCTATGGGTTTAACTTATTTCTACATGAGAAAGGTGTAAGCTTGATACATATTGTTGGCCTATTATTTGAAAACTTAAGAGGTCATTTGATAACTATTTCGTTTTCAATTTTTAGTTTTTAGTTTTCACTTTTTTGAAAACTACAAACTGAAATCTTATATCAATTTCAATTTTCATCTTATAGAAAACTGAAAACTGAAAGTGGTTACCAAAAAAGATATTAGGTTTTTAAAACAAAATGGCTATCAAATAACCTCTAAGCTTTGACGAGACTAGTGGTTGTGAGTCTTTTTTGAATGGTGTTGAGTTTGATTCTTCTTTCCTACTTATTTGTTGGTTTGCACGGTGCAATAGTGGGCTAAAAAGCCTAAACCTACATGTTTGTTTCTCTTTCTTATTGGTCTGCATCTACATGCCAAGTGCGGGAGCGAATCTGTAAGCTTGATATGTGAATTATTTGATAGCTCTTATTGGCCAACATAATTTTTTTTAGAGCTCGTTTATAAATGCTTTTAAAATGGTTGAAAATTTTTTTAGTGAAAATCTTGCACTCAATTCGTTTGGGATATTGTTATATTCTTAAATTCAACCGTTATGTTCTAATATTGAACCAGATTTTTACAACTGGAACCGAGTGAAGCTTAGATATTGTGATGGAGCTTCATTTGCTGGAGATGCAGTAGTTAATAACGGGGTATATCTCTCTAAACAAATATTTCCTTCCCACGTTCTTAACCTTCACACTTTTATCAACAATATTTTCATATCAATGTCGCCCCGTAAAATTCAACGTTATATACTTTATTAACTGATCATTTCTTTGCATGTAATGGGCGTGTGAAATGAATGTGACAGACATCGTTGCTCTATTTCAGAGGGCAAAAGATTTGGGAAGCAATCATCCTTGATCTTCTGCCGAAAGGTTTACGACAAGCACGTAAGGTAACGCGGATCAAAGAAATTGCGTAGACATTTTCGATGCGAACTTAGACATTCGAATTCAACTACTCATTGCATTCCATCTGTTTTCTAGGCTTTGCTATCAGGTTGTTCTGCTGGGGGTTTAGCATCGTTTTTGCACTGTAACAGCTTCACTAACTACTTACCAAGCAATACCAGTGTGAAATGCTTGAGTGACGCCGGATTCTTTCTCGATGAGTAAGTTCGTTACGTTCATTTTCCAACTCCAAAGTATATGTCAGTTAATTAATGCGTGTATCTTGAAATTTCGGTGTCATATTTTGTTGCAGACGAGATATAAATTTGAACCACACCATGAGGTATTTCGTAAAAGATCTTGTGACTCTACAGGTAGCATCTTCTAATGCTGAAACAAACCAATTTTTTTATCGATTATATATTTCGGATGTTCTTATAAGTATATGGATGGCAGGGAGTAGAGAAGAATCTGGACGAGAACTGCACGAAGAATTCCATTTATCCGGAGCTGGTAAGATTTTCGTGGCATCCATCACCGAACTCTTAGCCGATTAATGCATGTCATTGGTTTGTAATCACATGTTGTTTTAACATTTGCCTTGCCTTTGATGCAGTGTTTCTTCCCACAGTATGCATTGAAGTTCATCACAACACCTTTCTTCATATTGAACTCCGCCTATGATGTTTACCAGGTATGAACTATTGGGAAGGCGTAAACTTAGCTGCAACGTCCTTCATACCCATTTTCTCCCTGCATCTCTTATCGCGTGATGCACGTAATTAGTCCTTCTCAATCAATAGACCTTGTAATGTCCACAGTTCCATCACATATTGGTGCCGGCCTCAGCAGATCCACACGGACATTGGAGCCGTTGCAAATTGAATCCGGCAGCATGCAACCCTGAACAGTTAAATACATTGCAAGGTTCTTCAATTCTTTCCTTCCAGTTGCATGCTTTTCTTTAACCAACCTGATTATGGAAGCGCGTCATCTGAATCCTCGTTTTTTTTTCCTTTCTTTAATTGTCAGAATACAGGCGCGATATGATCGTTGCGATGGGATTGTTCTACAAATATTCCAGAAGAGGAGGGATTTTCCTCAATTCATGCTTTGCTCATTGCCAAAGTGAGTCTCAGGACACATGGTTTGGTGATGATTCTCCAAGGGTGCATAATAAGGTAATATTGTTAATATTGCTATAGTTTAAGGAAATCCATGTAATTTCATATCTAGGAGGATCATCCTCTTTGTGAGTATCCTCGCCAGATTCCCCAATCACACAGTTCATCATACATCGTGCGATTAAAAATTATTGTAAATTTTTTTATTTAAAATTGAATATAAACAATTCCTAATAAAAATTGGTCGTACGATGTATAATAAACAAATGTGATTGAAGGATTTCCGGGATCCTCACAAAGAGGATCCGGCGAGGATCCTCTCTCATTTCATATGCTAAGAAAGTAAGAAGATTTGGGTAAAGGTTGTGGACTGATAAGGTGTTTTTACAGACAATTGCAGAAGCAGTAGGTGACTGGTACTTCGGCAGAAGAGTAACAAAGGAAATTGACTGTCCATATCCTTGTGACACTACCTGCCATAACCTCATCCCATCAGCTCAGGTATTAAGAGTCTTGTGTGATTTTCGGGGAGGAATTGTAGAGAGATTCTTATATACAATTGGGATATATCTCTTGTTAGTATCTTTCTTCGCGTGATTGGAAAGATACTGACGTGTATATTGCACCCAAGACTTTTCCGTATTTTTTTCTTTTCGTTAATTCCATTGAACTGACCTTAAAAAAAATTATTACAGGCCGCTTTAGAGGATACAAAAAGCTAATAACTAGGTCAACATTTTCAAGGAGAGGCAGGAATACAAGTATAAAAAGTGATACAGCATAGCTTTAGTAGAAAACAGGAAAAAAAAAACAAACAAAAGCATGTATTCTTTTATTTCAATTCGATTTAATTCATCAATAAATTGAAAATTCATTTATTTATTTTTTGTTCAAAGAGATGCTTTTGGAATGTTGAGTGTTCATATTATTTTCAATCCCTTTTTTCTATGGAAAAAATTGACTTCCAGTTCAACATTATCTGACCCAAGATTCTTATTGGGTTTGAACAATATCTGACCCAAAATTCTTATTGCTAAGAAAACAGGCCTTTTAAAATTGAAGCCCAAAGAAAATCGCCTTTAATAGAGTAACTAGTTAGAATTAGGATAGGTTCGATGTTCGATTCTCTCCAATCAGTCACGTATACAAATAGTTATTTGTGTATCCTACTCAAATTCAAGGAAACTCTTACTCTTATTTTCTAGGGTTAGATCATTGACGGTTCATTCAACTCTCTGTCCATTAACTGTGTTATACACTGAAACATAATAAATTTTTTGATTTGTTTACGCATATAACTTTTCAAACTCAATAACTTGCCATTTGGTATAAATTACAAGTTCTTGATCCCAAAACTTTTTTTTTAAAGATGAAAAGATAGCGATTTCGTTATTATTATAAGAATTAACACCAATATTAACGAAGATATTCGAGATAACATTCAAGATCCTCAATCCAAATTTTGTTTAACATAACATAAAAGACCAAATCGGCCAAACTCGACCAAACTAGCACCAATTTATAATCCAGCTGGATTAGACTCTCAACCCAAAATACCTTTTGCATACATGCACTGGAAAAACATATGACACCAGGACGCCTCCGCAACACCATAGTTACGACAATATGTGTCAAGTCGTATTCCTTTGCGCTGAAGATTTGCCCTAACTGCCAACACTTTCTGACAGCATCGCCAAACAAATTAGCGCAACTTGGGTAATGTATTCCCATTTTCCAAATAAAAAAAACAAAGTGGCGCAACTTCCGGTGAACATCAATATTCCAAGATAATGTACCACACTTTATTCGATTCGTTATTACCTTTCCTCCCTAACTCCCCATTGCGACTAAGATCTTGCGCTACTTTGTAACTAGACTTCATGTTTATAGAACTTCGTGTTTATAATCAGAACCGTTCAAATAATAAATTATCATATAAAGATCGCATCTACAAAAAATTAATTAAAAATAAGGTCGTTTAGTCATCAAACTGTTTGAAAGCAAATGAACGGTATTGATAAAAACATTACGAACCGTCTATATAAATGCTACAATAGATTGACTAAACGATCATAGTTTTAATTTATTTTTTGCATAAATGATCTTTAAAATGTGATTCATAATATGAACGATTCTGATCATAAACACAAAACTCTATGATTAAAATACTAAAAGTTTTAATAATGAACTCTTACTTTTCTTTAGAAAGCTGAGTATTGTTCTGGACTACATTCCTTTCTTCGTATAGAGCCAAAATTAATTTATCCGCAACCCAAACTTGCTTAAGCGGCACGCTTCTAATGACACGTGCTTCATCAACTTCAAAGCATCAATCAATAGCATCTGTTCTCAGAAAAAGGATACTTGTCGGATTTTTTTTTTGGGAATTTATGATTGTAATGTTCATTGTATATTGTGCGATCAGTTTTAGTTAGTTACTATTTATATTTAATTTTAAATAATTTAAAATAATTTCTAACTGTACGATATAAGATGAACGGTCACAATCACAAGATTCTCGACACCCTTCCTTTTCCTCTTTTCTCCACCACCCTTCCTTCAAAGTTATATAAGATTCCCCTTACGTCAAAACTACTTTTTTAATAGAAAATTAATTTCACCAGATTCCTGGAATATAGTTTATTTCGAGGGCCTCGTCGGTATTTCACACATACAAAAATACGGAAGCTCCCGTCCCATCATTTGCAATCCATGCAAAGGCCAATCAAGTAATTTCACGTACACGATAACCTCGCCACCCGTTGCCCATCCAACAAAATCTTCCAATCCAAGAAAAGGAAGAGAAAACTTCCACCAGCCGTCTCCAAACCGCCGCATTCCTCCGCCACATTACCACCGGCCAGCAGTGCAAAATTACCAAACCACCCTTCTTCATAGATTTTGAGAATTAGAATAAAACGATGCAAAACCCAGTGGTTCTGTTCAAATTGCCGCATTTGCCCTCGTGGCGACTTTCTTATCACTCGCCATTTTTCTCACTCTTCATTAGACACAAAAAGCTCAGCAAAGCGAGAAGACCGAGAGAGAGAGAGTGGAGTGGCAGTGGCAATAGCAGGACCAGAAGTTGCAGTGGTGGTGGGGTCTGGGCAATGCCTTGCTCTGCAATCGGCGGTACTGGCGGAGGCGGTGGCGACGGTAATGGTGCTCTGACCAATTTCAAGCTGAACGAGTCCACATTCTTGGCCTCCCTCATGCCGAAGAAAGAAATTGGCGTGGATCGATTCATCGATGCGCATCCCAACTACGACGGCCGCGGCGCCCTCATCGCTATCTTCGGTAACTGAATCACTTCAATCGCTTAATTTCTGTTTGGGAGAAAAGAAAATGAAGAAAGAAAATTGTAGGAAGGAGAATCGCTCTAATTATAAACGTATATGTTATGTTTGATTCCTCTAATATGAAAGAAACGCGTGATTATAGCTGTGATTAGGAGTGATTAAGAAAATTAGTTTATCGAGTATCGGATTGATTTTCTGAGCTGAGGAAATTAAGCTGTTGAACTGAAACTTTGAATCAGATTCTGGAGTGGATCCAGCTGCTTCTGGATTACAAGTTACATCTGATGGAAAGCCGAAAGTCCTAGATGTTCTTGATTGGTAACCGTAATTAAACTAATTTATTTGAGCATTGAATTTGTATTACTAGAACCTTTGATTCAATCCGATAACTTCTGTTTTTATCAGCACCGGGAGTGGCGATGTTGATACTTCGAAGGTAGTCAAGGCCGATGGCAACGGTTGTATTCCTGGAGCTTCAGGTTAGTTTTTTGATCTATTTGTGTGTATGCCTATGTATGTATGTACTTCTCTTTTTATTATCGTTTAGAATTCCTGCATCTTCCTTGAGATACTTTTGGTTGACCATCGGAATTTTTAGAGCCATCTTTGGCTTAAAGAAGATATCTAATTGTAAGTTAACCTCTGTTTTAACCGTGCTTGGGTTTTAATGCAAAGTTTTATACAGGAGCATCTCTGTTTGTCGACTCTTCATGGAAAAATCCTTCTGGTGAATGGCATGTGGGCTATAAGTTGGTATATGAGCTATTTACTGATACATTGACTTCTCGCTTGAAGGTAAGCGTTATGACCCATTGATTAGTTGATTCGAATTTTATTTGTAGTCTCTATCATCACTTCAGATAATAACGGACAAATTTTCCCTCTTTTGCTTTTATGTTTTCACTGACAGAAGGAAAGAAGGAAGAAATGGGATGAACAAAACCAAGAAGAAATTGCCAAGGCTGTTAAAAATCTTCAAGAATTTGATCAGGTTTTTGAATATGCTGCTTCTTAATTTCTTTACTGGAATCAAATATTACTTATGTACTCCATCCCATGTTGTTAATTTTATTGTAAGCATACCATAAACTCAACTGAAAGTGTTAATTAAATGAAAACTGTTATTTTTTCAATTGCAAATAAGCTCAATATTCACTTCCTCTTTGGCATTATTGTCTACCTAGATTGCACATTATGCACTTTTACCTTCTTGTTCAAATAAGTTCATTGTAATACTGTACCTGTATAGAAAGGGATGGATTCAACTGCTATCAGTCTATTATTTGAAATGTACATTTGTTAACGTTGGGAAGCGTCTCTGATATAATTCACCATAATCTCATCAATTCTGTGCAAAGCTTTCCAGCTGCTTCCCTCAAAATACAGGATCAGCAGAAGTAGTCTCCTGCAATATGCTTGGATTATGTTGCTCCTAAATATGTAAGTTACTATGTACCATTTTCAGAAACACAGTAGAGTGGATGACGTTCACTTGAAAAGAGCTCAGGAGGACCTGCAAAATAGAGTTGATTACCTACAAAATCAAGCTGATGTGAGTGAAAAATACATATTTATTTATAAAAAAAAACTTAATTCCTATGCAAGTCTTAATGGTATTTCTTGTCTTCTAGAGCTATGATGACAAAGGGCCTGTCATAGATGCCGTTGTATGGCATGATGGAGAAGTATGGAGGGTTGCCCTTGACACACAGACTCTTGAGGATAACCCAGTTTGTGGAAAACTTGCAAACTTTGTGCCCCTAACTAATTATAGGTATGGTTGGGTTGGTTTATTGGAAGTTTTGTTAGAAAGTTGAGACAAAGAAACTTATTGTAATAAAATATCCTAATTTTCTCGAGACCACATTATTCATCTGATTCCGAGTTGCAAACTTATTTGTCTTTGGTGTTTTAGTTTCCAGTACAGTGGCCATGATAATGGATCGATTCTATAGAATTTATAGTTAGTTACTGATATAAACTTTTTTACAGGATAGAACGAAAATATGGTGTTTTTAGCAAATTAGATGCCTGTACATTTGTTGCTAATGTATACGATGAAGGGAATATCCTTAGTATCGTAACAGATAGCTCTCCACATGGCACTCATGTTGCTGGTATTGCTACTGCTTTCCACCCGAAGGTATTATTATGCAGGCTTAAACATTTACTGCACTTTTTTTCAAGCTAGGGTAATATACTTATGATACATGTGGTGTTCTTAGGAACCCCTGTTGAATGGAGTTGCACCTGGAGCACAAATAATATCTTGTAAGATTGGAGACTCGCGTTTAGGTTCAATGGAGACTGGAACTGGCTTGACTCGAGCCTTGATTGCTGCTGTGGAGGTGCTTTTAAATTCTATTATTTTCTAATAACTCTGATAATCAACAATTTTAGTTTGCCCAAGTCTTGTTTAGGATTCAGCACTGTGATACTAGTACACTCCACTGCCTTGTATAGATGATTATAATGATGGCTTTTACAATGTTTGTGCAGCATAAATGTGATTTGATCAACATGAGTTATGGAGAACCTACACTGCTGCCAGACTATGGGCGTTTTGTTGACCTTGTTAATGAAGTATTATTTCTAAATTGGTGACTGTCTAAGATAACTGCTTACTTTTTTTCCCCTTCCTTTTATCTTTCATGCTCTCACACGTTATATTCTACGCATTGGTGCTAAAACTAGGCTGTGAACAAGCACCATCTAATATTTGTGAGTAGTGCTGGCAATAGTGGGCCAGCATTGAGCACTGTTGGAGCACCTGGTGGTACCACATCAAGCGTTATAGGAGTTGGTGCATATGTCTCTCCTGCAATGGCTGCTGGTGCTCATTGTGTAGTTGAAGCTCCAGGCGAAGGGCTTGAGTACACTTGGTATATTAACTTTCTTCTTATGACTTTCAATTTTAAACACAAGTTCCCATTTTCGGCTTCCTTTAAGTTAGTCTTTTGGTTCCATGTCAGGTCTAGTCGTGGGCCAACCAGTGATGGAGCTCTTGGTGTCTGTATAAGTGCTCCTGGTGCGGCTGTTGCTCCTGTTCCTACATGGACTCTTCAGCAACGCATGCTTATGAATGGAACATCAATGTCATCTCCATCTGCTTGTGGGGGAATTGCACTGCTCGTTAGTGCATTGAAGGTACTTGTGTTTTGTTGCATTAGTAATCTTGTTGTCTGCTCTTTTCACATTGTTGGTACAAATATGTATTTTCTGGTGTAACTTCTTATATCTATTGTTTTCTGAAGGCTGAGGGTATTCCTGTGAGTCCATACAGTGTAAGGAAGGCTCTTGAAAATACATCTGTTCCTATAGGCAGTTTGCCTGAAGATAAACTATCAACTGGACAAGGGCTTATGCAAGTTGACAAGTTAGACTTTTGATCTAAGCCTGCACTCTCTTCTACTATTGATCTATGCACATATTTTGATATATATCTTGCTTGTTTACTGATTTTCAGGGCACATGAATATCTAAGGCAGTGCCGGGATGTACCATGTGTTTGGTATCAGATACAGATAACTCAGTCTGGTAAAACAAGTAAGTTCCATGCTCCCACTGACCTCACTCTTCATTGAAAAGCACAGACTTGTTTGGCTTCATTTACAAGAATTCTTATTATCTTGCATGATAGGATAATATTCTCCAAAATTCTCTTCTTCTATTTTAAAATTGTTAAACATGTCTCCTATAGAAAAGGCTAAATTTGTCAAACTTTTGTTACATTTGTTGATGCCCTTCTGCATGTTAGAATTAAGTCCGAAATCATGGATCTTTATTTTTATAGTCAGGTTTCACTTTTAAATGCACCAGTTATTAGGTTTTAGTAATAGTTCCATGTTTGTGAGTTGTTCTTTTGATTTTAGGTTATGTTGATGCTCCAAACTTACTTTGTTGCGTGATTTGATGACAGCTCCTACATCACGAGGAATCTACTTACGGGAGGCTAGTACTTTCCAACAATCAACCGAGGTGAGATTATTTATTACACCTGAGAGGCAGCAAATTTCTTTGTGTAGAACGTTATCAATCTGAGGTTATGAGTTAGTTCTTTCATGATGTAATTGTTGCATAATTAGTGTTACCAGCTACAGCTTGATATGTGTGATGCTATCTTGAACTCAAAGTCAAGTTTTGTGTGTATGTTTATGAACTTTCTTTTGATTTCAACTTGCGTCCCTCCTTTTGTAAGTTTACTTTCTTGTTATTTAAACTTGTAAGAACAACTTTGGAAACATTTCTTTCGTCTCTGTTTTCACTTTCATAGCGTCTACCAGTTCTATCATAGCTGATGTGGTGTTTCTAACAGTGGACGGTGCAAGTTGAACCGAAATTTCATGAAGGTGCTAGTAATTTGGAAGATTTGGTTCCTTTTGAAGAGTGTATTGAGCTCCATTCCAGTGACAAGGCAGTTTTGAGGGCTCCCGATTTTCTCCTTCTTACTCATAATGGGCGTAGCTTCAAGTTAGTTTGCACAACTTAAATGTGCCTTTTTTCATATTAATTTGTCCACATTTATGCTATAATTTACTTGTTACTGGTTTTTTGCTTTTTTCTTTTCTTTTAAGACTTCCCCTGGTTTTCTTCATGTGTGAAATTAACGAACTTGATCTTCTGCCATGCTAATTCGCACATGTGGTCGCTATATCAGTAAAAGAAGGCCTGAATTGGCTGTTGCATTGCTTGTGCATATTTGTGTGTTGTCATACTTTATATTTGGCTTGGAATATAGAACATAGTTTCCTGTGAGTGCATATGCTTGTGGAGCTACCTGCTCTCAAATGATGGCATAGCCAATTGCTTGTGGACTAGTTCCCAAAACAGAGTGAATGGGCAGGGTCTTGAGCTTTATTTTGATATAAGTTTCCATCATTGGAACACATATGCATCAAAATGTGCATGCACATGGAACAAAGCTGCTTGTACGATACTTTATAAATGTTTTTTTGTGCTGTCTTGAGATTCTGGACAAGTTGAGCGTCAGTTTATTCAGCATCACTTACAAGTTCCTTTTTGGTTCTTTTCAGCATAGTAGTGGATCCCACCAAGCTTAATGAAGGTCTGCACTATTTCGAACTCTATGGTGTTGATTGTAAAGCACCATGGCGCGGTCCTCTTTTCAGAATCCCTGTTACCATGACAAAGCCTATAGCTGTGATAAGTCGACCTCCACTGTTGTCATTCTCTAGGATGTCATTTTTGCCAGGTATGAGCAGTGTTACTTGTGTTTTTTAATGGGTGGTATGGATCATATTGTACTATTCTTTCATGGTGGAAATTCCTCTTCTTGATGTTAGGCCACATAGAAAGGAGATTTATAGAAGTACCTTTTGGTGCTACATGGGTTGAAGCAACTATGAAAACATCAGGATTTGATACAGCAAGAAGATTTTTTGTTGACTCTGTTCAGGTACAGCTTGCAGTAATTAAAACTTATATCAGATGGTCTAAATCTGCATTAACATGCTTGCAATGTCCAGCTATGTCCCCTGCAAAGGCCCCTTAAATGGGAGAGTGTTGTAACATTCTCTTCTCCTGCTGCCAAAAGCTTTTCATTTCCTGTTGTGGGTGGTCAAACAATGGAATTAGCTATTGCTCAATTTTGGTCGAGTGGCATAGGAAGCCATGAAACAACTATTGTGGATTTTGAGGTATGCTGTTAAGATCTAGACTTGGGATATCTAGTAAAATTGCAATACTTTAATTGTTTACTAACCAAAATCTTTTAGCCTTTTACATTTACTGATGATGCCATGAATTTGCTTGTGGTTAACTTTCTAGATTTCCCTATTATTCTGATGTTGTACCTCATTTGATTTCTACGTAAAGTCTTATATTTTCAGACTTCCAGTTATGTTTTTTTATCAATATTATATGAGTTGAGAGAAACTGCATTTTCACCCAACCCATAGACTTTTGTTCTAGTTCTTCAACTGAATTTTCATCATTCTTTGAAAATCTCTTCTTTTATTACTCTCTCTTTAATATAAATATAAGACCTTAAATAACAACTTAATTTTAGTTTTTTCGTCAGTAATGCGGTTTCTTAAGCGACAAAAAAGGCAGGAAATATCTTATAATGAACTTCATTAGAGAGCCTTACAGATGGGCTTTGTATAACTTTTTCAGATTGTGTTTCATGGAATTAACATTAATAAAGATGAAGTAGTACTTGATGGAAGTGAAGGGCCGATCAGAATTGAAGCTGAAGCTCTACTGGCTTCTGAGACACTTGCACCGGTTGCTATTCTAAACAAGGTGAAGTTGCTCCCCCATAATAGATGATGATAGTCGTACATGTTTATTAATTGCTTGGTACCCTTGTGTTCTAATACTTTCTTTTCCGCTTGAGATCAATTTGCAGATAAGAATTCCATACCGGCCGGTTGAGTCTAAACTTTGTTCTCTCTCAACAGATCGTGACAAACTACCCTCAGAAAAACGTATTATGGCACTTACTTTAACGTGAGTTATGGTCTGATGTTTACTGATTAGTAATCTGCATTTTGTGTTTTACAGTAATAAATACTCTTCTGGTTCATGCAGCTACAAGATCAAATTGGAAGACGGAGCTGAAGTCAAGCCTCAAGTTCCGTTACTTAACAATCGTGTATATGACACGAAATTTGAGTCTCAATTTTATATGATCTCTGATGCAAACAAGGTAGCGTTGTTTTTTGTTATAGTTGAAAATGAAATTTTGAAATTGATTGTTACAACAGGGAAGTTAAGTTCATTGAAGTCCTTAGAGAAATCCTTAGAGTGTCCTCTTTTCATTAGAGTTTCTTACTTTCTTCCCTTTCTGATCATAGCGTATACATGCAATGGGAGACATCTATCCGAGTAAATCAAAACTGCCCAAGGGAGAGTACAATTTACGGCTATATCTAAGGTATAGTCCTCTTTTTGAGACAGCAAACCAGCATGCCTGTGCATGCTTTTATTGACCTGCAATTAGGACTTAATTTATTACCACAAGTTATCTTTCAGTTTCCCTTTTAAGTTCATTGAAATTAATTTTTAAATGTGAAATTATCTTAATATGAATATACCTGGCACTGTTTGCGACCATGTACATTAACACTGGAAAGCTGCATTAGGCATAAGTCAAATTTCCACTAGATTAACAAAAGTTGCTACTATTCACATCATCTAATACGAGCTGTTTCAACCTTAGACATGACAATGTGCAATACTTGGAAAAACTGAAGCAGCTGGTGTTGTTCATCGAGAGAAATTTGGAAGAGAAGGTAGAGTTATTCTATACAGTGATGTGCTTTTCTTAACATAACTCTCTTTTAAGTTTTAATCAAAATTGTGAAGACATCTGTAATATGTATAACCCTGGATAATGCGTCTATGTTTCATTACTTGTTAAATTTTCTGATTTCTTTTCAAACCAGGATGTAATCCGATTGAGCTTCTTCTCCCAACCTGATGGCCCTTTGATGGGAAACGGTAGTTTTAAGTCCTCGGTATTAGTTCCAGGGTATGCGGCTGAATAATTTGTTCTTGTGGTTTAATGATATCATTTTGCAATGTTATTTAACTTCTTGATCTTTGGTAGGAAAAAGGAAGCATTCTATTTAGGTCCACCATCCAAAGACAAGCTTCTAAAGGTATTTTTCTGTTCTTTGTTTATTTTTAATTTGATGTAAGCACTAAAGATTTTAATTCTAGTGATATGTTGTGCAGTTTTCTCCACAAGGATCTGTATTACTTGGAGCCATCTCGTATGGGAAGCTATCATATGTTGATAAGGGAGAGCAGAAAAATCCGCTAAAGAACCCCGTGTCTTATCAAATTTCTTATATAGTGCCACCAAATAAGGTTTTTATATATAATCCTTAGTTTCCTAAGACAACATCATATTTGTCCTCATGTGACTGAACATTTGACTTAAGCTTTGGTTTGATCTACCATTTTTATAAGTTATTTAGCCGACGAAAACATGTGGACATAATAAAAAGTTTTCATTACAATTACAGCTGGACGAGGAAAAAGGAAAAGGTTCTTCTACTTCCACCAAGCCTGTTTCTGAGCGGTTAGAAGAAGAGGTATGTAAGACATATTAGTTTCTTCATCTGTTCTGGATGCATCAGATCTTTACGCGGGTTACTTTGGGTAAAACTGGTTGGTAACTTCTGATTTTGAAATTGGAAAAGTTTGAAAGAATGCTACTCATTACCACCTGTATCCAACCCTTGGGTGGAGATTTATAGCAAAATTCACTGACTTAACTAAGTAATAGATTTTTTATTTTATTTCAAGTGGCTCATACCAAGCTGAGAAACCTAATATTTCTGTAGCACTTCTAGAACTGAGCATATGCATTCAGTTAACCTTATTTATGGCTTTTCAAAGTTGGTAACAGATTTGTCTAATAAGTCCTCATACTATTCTTTACATTGGCGCTTTATTATAAAAGCTCCTTGTCTTCCTGTCAGATTCTGAGGTTCACAAATCTTTATACCTGAGATACTGATCCTTATTGTTTGTACTTTGTGAATCAGGTACGAGATGCAAAGATTAAAGTTCTTGCAAGCCTGAAGCAAGGTACTGAGGAAGAATGCTTGGAGTGGAATAAATTATCGTCTTCTCTCAAGGTTAGAGCTCATATTGTTATGGTATAGATGAAATGATTTAGGTCTAATATGATCATGAATTAACTATCTTAGGTCATTTGATGACATGTAAAGGAAGTTTTATTTGATCTCAGTTTCCGGCATTGTCGATATGGTAGGGTTCTTACATTGAGTTTGTCTCATTCAACGTGGTTAGTGGGGCTCTGACTTCTGAGTGACATGTCATTAACTTTGCATTTGTTACACATGGACACGACACTCACATTTGAGCTTAATTTAAATCTGTTCCAGAACTATAAATTTTGACCTGTTAATTTGTACTTCCAGTCAGTGCATATATAGATATGTATGTAACAATTATATTTGGTTTCAAATTGAGCATCTGCTTATTAAGTCTGTTGAGACAAGCTATTGAGATTATTATATTATGCTTGAGGTTTTTATAGCATCTATGGCTCACATGTTGTGTGTACCTAATGTTTCTCTTTTCAGTCTGAATATCCTAAATACACCCCATTGCTTGCCAAGATATTGGAAGCTGTACTTTCTCGGAACAATGACAAGGACAAAATCTCCCATGAAAAAGAGGTAGCGTGGTACAACCATATGGCCAAGAATGATGTAGTTTTGTAAATTTTTATTCACTTGCAAGTGAAGAAATATAATTCATGTTCCACTTCTAGAAGTTGTGGGGTTTGTTGCCACGTGATTACCTCGCCACATGTTTTGGGTTTAGGGTAATTGTTCATGAACAATGGATCTCCATGCAGAATAACCCATCTTCATCATTTTTCAATACATGATGAACTGATTCGTAGTTTGTATAGATAGTAGGTGTATACAACCTTTCTAAGCTCAAGGTACGGGGTTTGTTTATGCAGTGATTTAATAACATTTATTACGTGCTTTGCTTTGCAGGTTATTGATGCAGCAAATGAGGTGGTTGACAGTGTTGACATAGATGAGCTGGCAAAATTTTTTGCACTAAAAAGTGATCCCGATGATGAAGAGGCAGAGGTGTGTTATTTGTTAAAGCATACTTCTTGTTTTTATTCCGTCTTTCTTGAAACCATTGTGAAGAGCTGCCAAAATTATTTCAGAGAATCAACAAATCTTACCAGCTTTTTTTCGTAAGTTTATCTATAGGTAGGTTAATAATAAATATTACTGATTCTTGTCATAGAAAATTAAAAAGAAGATGGAGACAACCCGTGATCAATTAGCAGAGGCATTGTACCAGAAAGGACTGGCACTAGCAGAGACTGAATCTTTGCAGGTTGGAATAGTTAATTTCTTTCGAAGTACTTTCATAGTCATCTAAGGTTAATCTTCTGGTTTTTAAAGTTTGGTATAAAGTATGTGAAAGTTACACGGCCAGATTTTATTTGAGTTGGTCAACCTCAGATGGTTTTATGTTTGGTTATGTAAAGCTTGCTTCTTTCTAGGATGTTGAGCTTAAAAACTTGTTAGGAACTTTTTATTTTCTTCCATTTCTCATAGAAAAGCTTCTATGATTGCCATGCGGATATGAATATACGTATTTTCAAATCTGAGATCATTTCCCCATACCTATGAATGCTGAGTGAGAACTCACTATACTGTTCTTTTTCCTTATACAGTCAATTTGTTTCTTATGCCCATTTTTTCGATAGTGGTGACGTTCTTATGCATTTTATCTCCTAATTTTCATTTATGTGTCTTTAACAATTAAATGGAGCCCAAGCTTACCGATTATTGTTGCAGGGTGATAAGCCTGCAGAGGCTGAAGGTGCAGAAGGGGGAGCAGGCTCAGATTTGTTTGAAAAGAACTTTAAAGAACTTCAAAAATGGGTTGAAGTCAAGTCCTCCAAATACGGAACTCTCTCAGTACTACGCGAGAAACGTGCTGGAAGGCATGGAACTGCACTGAAGGTATTTTTCTCTTTCCCCGCTTAATCTTTGGAAAAGCACACTGCATCTCACCTAATTCCATGTATAATCTCATAGGATCAGTATCATTTGCACTTTCTGGTACGCTTTTTGATTGAACTGCTTGAGTAGTTCTAATTGTATGTCAGCGCAATAAACACGTTAATGTAATAAGTTCCAAGCCAGAAAAACCGGAAAAGAATTAAGGAACGCGGTAGAAACATACAATCTGGTCCTCTAGTCATTTGTTGTTGCAAGGTTTGTATTTGCTTGGAAATATTGTCAAAACTCTCTGTCTAAACTGATCATATTTATGAGTGCAGGTTCTGAATGACGTAATTCAAGACGATGGAGAGCCTCCCAAGAAGAAGTTCTACGATCTGAAGATTTCCTTGCTCGATGAGATCGGTTGGCAACATTTGGCGACACATGAGAGGCAATGGATGCATGTTCGCTTTCCACCCAGTTTACCTCTTTTTTAGAGGTACTCGATTTCAATTCTCAGAGATCAAACAATTGCGAAATAATAATATCACAAAAAAATGTGCTAGACCCTGTTATTGAGTTAGCGAGCTTTTCGAGTGCTTCAAGGATGGTTTGTATGACATTTAAATGATCGTTTCTCACGCACTCTTCGATATGTAATGTTTATGATTATACTCGTCTTCTTTTGCTCGTTGAACTGAAATGTTATTAGTTTTGTTTGCAGAGCAAGTACAAGTGTTAGTAACATAACAAAAATGCGTTCCTCGTCATTAATGTGTTTGCTTGCGGTAACTGTGGCCTCTCGGGCAAATCAACGACTTCATTTTTTTAGTTCAATATAACTCGAGTGTCATACAATATTTAACAAGAGAAGGGAAAATGTTTTTCATTTGATTGAGATTTCTAACATCGAGCAAAAATTGGACTTTTTTGACCTGACAACATAGGTGCGTTGGCTCAACTAAATGAGAAGGAGAGAAGGAGAAAGAGAGAACGTTGGGGGGGGGGGGGAGAAGGTTTTTGCTTTATTTTATTTTATTTTATTTATTTTAATATTGGAGGTATTTTAACATCATATGTATGTGAGCTAAAAAATAGTAAAATTTGAATCTGTAAAATTACATTATTGCCCATCATTTTTTTTTTGTGATGGAAGATTGAGTTGTCTTTTCATCTTCTTTTAGTTGACAAAGATAGTTTTATTAATTAGTAGAAATTCAAATGGTCTACTATTTTTTTCTTTATTTATAAATTGTTTTTTTTTCAAAAGATTTAATAAGAGGGGTATTTTGTGGGATTTTTTTTTAATGTTTCACTCTTTTATTCTTCCGACTTTTTATATATAGATAAAAAATAAAAAATAAAAAACACCACCCGTGAATTAAGTGGAGCAACACCAAAAGGGAATAGAAAGAATCTCCATATAAGATTAATTTTGAAATCAGGAGAGATTTCGTTTGGAAGGCTTTCTCAGATAAAGCAGTGATTGGTTGCCTCACGCTTGAGAAAACAGTCCAAAGTTCAAACACAAAACCATGCAAATGCCCATGCATCTGAAAAAAAAAAATTAATAATAAAAAATAAAAAATAATTCAAACAAAAATTCTTAGGTGCTCCGAGCATCAGTAAACTTGGCTGGTCACATGTTCCTGCAAGGAGTCCTACCCCAAGCTAACAGCCCTGCAGCGATGGAGCTTTCTCATTAGTCTCAGGTATAGTCCCATCAGCTGGAGGCACGGGTTGCGCAGAGGGCAACGTGGGTGATAGTGCCAACTCTGGGTCGCCATCAGAAACAGCGGGCAGCAAAAGTGGAGGTACCATGGGTACAAAAACCAAAGTCATTTTGTACCACAGGAGTCAAAGTCATAGTATAAAGAAATGGGCAGGCATCCTCGTTGAGTCGAAAGCCATATCAGAAACCGTAAAGGTGTAAATTTATAGATAAATAAGAGTAAATTGTAGCAATGGTCCCTTAATTTTAATTAAATTGGAGCAATGGTCCCTCAACTAAAAATCCATTAACATTGGTCTCTCAACTTATCAAAATGTGTAGTTATAATCATTTTCATTAATTTCGTCAAAATTTTTTCAAAATAAGTTATGTTGGAATAATCATTTATATAATTAGGGTTCCTCAACTTATTAAAGTGTGTAATATGGTCATTTTCGTCAACTACGTCAAAATGTTTGTCAAAACGAGTTATGTTGGAATGACCATTGCTATAATTAGATTAAAGTTAAGGGATCATTTCTCCAGTTGAATTAAAGTTGAGACACCAATGGTAATGAATTTTTAGTTGAGGGACCATAGTTGCACGTTTTGATGAGTTAAGAGACCAATGATAATAAATTTTTAGTTGAATGACCATTACTCCAATTGAATTAAAGTTAAAGGACCATACCTACGATTTAATTAATAAATAAATAAAAATAACACTACCCTTGAATTAAGTCGAGCAACGCCAAAAATGGATGGGAAGAATCTCCACGTAAAGATTTCAAATTTATGAGGAGAGATTCGTCTGCAAGACTTTCTCAGATAAAGCAATGATTGTCTACGTCATGATTAGAAAACAGTCCAAAGTTCAAACACAAAACCATGCAAATACTCATGTATTAGGTGCCCCGATTATCTGTATTTTCAGTATTTCTACTGTAAGATCTTGATTTTATATATTTTTTAAACAAAGATTTTACAGTTAAAGTATTCGAGGTATTAAGTAATCTACAGCAATTTATGCGAAACGGGTTAAATGTCGTGGGAACCCTAACGGGCTGCTATATAAGTGGAGCTTCAGCCGTGCCGTTCACATTTCCTCATTGCTGCCGTTTCGCTCTCTCTCTCTCTCACACACACACACAGAGACACAGTGGCGAAGTCAGGAAGTGACGGGAGGAGGGGTGAAATTTTACAGAACAAAAAATCTTAAAAAATGTTGACAATAAAATCATTTTAGATAGTAGATAATATTAATGTCTGTTATAACTTATACCTAAAAAAATAAATGTATTCATTGTGAAATGACCGAATACCCTTAGTTAAGATGTGTTGAATATATATAGACCTCTGAGTTTAAATTCAACTTCTTATGTTTCCTTATTTTATTAATTATTTTTCATACTCACGAATGTATGGACAAAAGCATAATCAAATTCAAAGTTATTGTGGTTGAGTTGTAATTTTTGGAAAGGGCATATTGATATGATACAAAATATGGTGGGTCTTAAATAAGAAAAGAAAGAAAGATAACAGAGACAGAAGTATAATAATAAAAATGAAAACTAATGAAAATGATTTGAAAACTTTAAATTTTAACGATAAGGAAAAAATAAAGGGTAAAGTGAATTGTACCAGTTTTGACTTTTTAATGTAAAAATGTGGTTTTTCGTTAAAGTGAATAGTACCATGGACTTTTAGTTAAAACTCTCATAATAAAATAAGGTGGAATACAAATAAATCGTTAAAAAAGAAATAAGGATAATAAAGAGAGTTTGAAGATGGCGAGGTAAGAGAAAAAAAAGGGGAAATGAGACGAAATGTTAGCATCTGGGGTCAGTTGAGATAGAGGAAATAAGATAAACAAATGAAAAATAAGCAAAAACCAAACGGCGCCGTGTGGAAATATCAAGACCATCATCTTCTTCGCGTGTTGTAGATGTGTTCTGCAACTACACTTTTCAGATTCCGTTCTAAACATAAACCAAGTTTTGCTACCCAGCTCCCTCTAGTCTTGCCCAATCTTGCCTAGATCTGATTGACCAGAAGGGCAACTACTCGCTCTTGGACTACTTTTCCGGTGAGAGGAAGGGCTGAACCGCGCTCCAGTCGTGTTTTTTAAACTTAAACTCACTCATTTCTTTTATTTCCCTCCTCCCCTCTCACTCAAAATCTCTCTCTCTCTCTCTCTCTCTCTCTCTTCTCTCTCAATTCTTTCTCTCAATTCTTTCTCTTACTCTTCTTCATCTCTATCTCGTTTGATCCTCTCTCCTCTTTCTCTCTTTCCTGCAACCCCTTATTTTTAGATCTCTTTGTCTAGCTTAAGTCGTAAAATATAAAAATTTTAAATCGCGAATCAATCAAGTTTTTGAGTCTTAAAAAAAATTATTTTCAAGAAATGTTTTGAAAAATGATAAAAAAAATTTAAATAAAATATCAAACAGACCTTAAGAAATATGTAAATCATCAAGAGTCCTTTCTTGTTGTATGCTTTTCAAAAAGTTGTTGCTAAGACTATAATTCGAATTTTGATTTTGGACTTAAATTCTAACGAACTTCACCACAAAGATTTAAATTCAAATTTTTTACCATTAAGCTGTCTTCCGAGTACTATATCACCACGAAGACAATTTAGCTAATTAGGCCTAAATTTAAAGATAATTTCATTGATATTCCTCATAGACCCTTTTACAAAGGAATCCGGATTTTCGCCGGATCCTCTTTGTGAGGATCTCGGAAATTCGTGAATCGTACATTGTGCGGTCATAAGTCATTGATATTTTTATTTAAAATTAAACATAAACAGTACCGAACAAAACTGACAGCATAATGTACGATGAACAGACATAATTCACGGATTCTCATGATTCTCACCAAAAGATCCGGAGAGGATCCCATTGGTTTACAAAGGTTACCAAACTAATAATAGGGGCATTTCCGTAAACTCCGACTCGATTGGTCGCATCTCCCAGCAAGGACTCTTACCCCTAGATAAAAAAAACCGATTATAAATAACAGCTCTACTGGGATGGAACTTTCTCATCAGTCTCTACAGCTAATCAACTATTTTCATTTATATTATACAGGGCTCGCCTGTTGCTGTTCGAGGTTAGAATATTCAATATTTTTTCTCATATCTCTAAGATAATCAGCAGTTTAATCACCATGTCTAAGTCTCTTTTTTTGCTAAACGTTCTGTTGATTCTATCGACTTGCTATTTCAAAGTTTAGTTTAAATTCAATGCTAAGTTTTACTTAATATTTATACCATATTTTCAGATTTTGCGATGAACGAATTAAAAATGATATATCTGGAGAGATGTCTTCAACTGCGAAGCTTCTTGGAATGGAAGGGATAGGAAAGAAAAAGACTTCAGGTATCTCATTCAAGGATTTTGCTATTCGTTTTGTATTACTTTCTTTTCTTGAAGATTTCTGTATTTCTCCATTACGTCTTATAGTTTCAGACTTTCAGGGGATATGCCAGCACCACAAATGGTAGTTGCCGGCCACCAAGGTTGGCCTCGACCACATCAGCTTTTCTGCCACTGTCACAATCAACGGCCTCAACTTCTCCGCTTCATCTTTCTCACAGGTAAATGGTAGTACTGCATGTGGAAAGAAACTTTGTCTTTTTATTTACATGCATTTGGGTTTTTTTAGGGTTTTTATTTAAACGCATATCCTGAATTGAATGACGAAATTCGGAACTTGTGAGAATGTTGAATAACTACCTACCACTTGTATTTGATTATCTCGGATATAATTTATGTCTCAATAGAAAATCGAAACTTGTGTAAATGTTGATTAAGTACGTTAATTACCATTTGTGTTTAATTATCTAGGAGATAATTAATGTCGCATTCGAAATTCGGAATTTTGGGTGGATGTTGATCAACTATGTTAGTCACCATTTGTGTTTAATTATCTGAGAGATAATTTTCTCATTCGAAATTCGAAACATGTCTGGACGTTATCAACTATGTGTGTAACGATTTTGTTTTGTTTAATT